AGTCTCAGTCCATGACTCCATTCTTCGGCAACTACGGTGCAAGGCCGATACTGTAGAAACTTGCAATTTGTACCCTTGACCTGACCTTGACCTTGACCTCAAACTTTAAATTAAGTACATGTTTTTAGTAGTTCGTGATGAGAGCTTTCGATTGGCGTTTGAATTTTCCAAATCGGACCATTAGTTCGGGAGATAACAGGGGGGGTAAAATTTACCCCCCCCCCCAGCCCCGCGCGTTCGGCTGGAGACCCCAGCCCCGCGCGGGTTAAGGCTCGACATTGTGTTGTCTACGATTAGACAGCTGATAACTCATTCCCGTGCGTCGTAATTCTATAATGACCTTTGCTTATTGTCACATGTGCGCCGCATTCGCGATTGTTGCCGACGCCTGTTTGCAGGTCAGCCCACTACAGTTGTTATACATATCGAAAAACCGATAAACTTTTAGGCGAAAAAGGCACTATTCCAGGCCCATTTTTGATTTTTTTTTGCGATATTAGGTAAAAACAGAAGCTTCTTATCCTAGGAAAAATAAAATGGGAAATCATTGGAAGGTGACACAATACCTTTAATCCTTATAGCTCCCTGGCGCCCGGAGCATTCGCTAGCATTGCATTGCCAGCTGCATTACCAACATCACATTTGCATTACTTTGGGTTCGCCATAGTTAACAGTAGATGAGCCGGCCACAGCAAACCCATGCCTCATTATTTTTTCCTTCCAAGCAGTCAACTGCGAAGCTAACCAGCCGCCCGGCCCACCACCGCGATATGGAACAACGCTAGAGTGCGCCATTTGGCTGCGGCAGTGCCCCACCACGCCGGGGCTGTTTGACAGGTCACCCGCACCGTGACCTCGCCCCCCCCCCCCATCAGGCCCAGCTCGGTAGTGACCTCTCCTTGAATATCGCATGGACTCGACTAAGGCTCAACGCCATCTAGTTGCGTCTGGAGCTCCTTACTAGATCCACTGTACGTAGGTAAAGCCCACATTCATGTGTGGTCCCCCGTTTGAAACAGCCCATCCCGGAACTTCTGAAACTACGAAGGGCCCTGCCGTCAGCTCCGGGGATAGGGGCCCATGGAAGGCCCAAGGGGGGTCCCTAGGGACCGGACCCCCCTTCGCTACGCCACTGTGTGGATCAGTGTATGCTATCGTTTATCGTGCTTATGTGTATTTTTTTTATGAAAATATAGCAACTGTCCATCGTGTAGCCATAACAATTAGCCAATAAGCTCTGATGACCTCGCGCTGGCGCTTGGCGCGCGACTTTGGCCATTGCCAGACTCCTTTTTCATGGTGCGCCGCAGGTTCGGGTGGTCTCTTGGGAAAACGACGATAGCTTGGAGCAAGAAGTAGATAAGGACCTGTGGTATTCATCATCGGATAGAAAAAAAAACATCGGCGCATGAAATGACACCAAACAAAAAAAAATATGTGCACGTGCAATAACGTTTAATTGCTTAGGGCACTTCCATTACTTAATAGTCAACCCTAGTATTTGGCGCGACTAGCCTCAGGAATGTTCTGAAACTAAAACCGTTTCTTCGCAATTAACTTGGCCCACGCCCCACGTCATCCCAGCTTAGGCACGACAAAAATGAAATAATGCTTCAGGTCAGGATCACTGGCCTGAATTCCAATGCTTAAAGTTTACTCAAAACCGGTGTGGCTGATGCACTATTCACTACATTTCGTGACGGCCACCATTGTGTTGCACTTTTTCGGTAAGCTATAAGTTAATAAGGAAAGAATTGGTGAGTGGGTTGAAAACAGCCCTCACCCTCCACCCCCTTCTTCTGGAAACATAAGTAACCGAAAGATCTGGCGATGGTTTATCCACATCCTCTGCCGCCGCGCTGCTAGGCCTCGATTCGTTCGGTATGTGGATTCCTGAGCGGTCCTCCCCGGAGGCAAGGTGAAAGGTCATGGCCTGCATCATAAATTTATACGTTGCTGAATATGTTTTATAGTTCTTCCAAGGCCTTGGACACCGTTTTATTATACCTGATAAGCATTTCACTTTCTTGTCAATCAATACAGTTAAAGAAAACTTTATCATAATCTCATACTGCGGCAATTGTAGTTCTGCTTACGGTTGCCTCTTTATGATACGGGCCACCACCACCTCCACTGCGCTGGAGCTCTGGCGTTCTACCCCTCCCCGCTACGGACCGGCCCCCGGGCTAGGTGTGTTAGTACTGAGCGCAAACGTGTAGTAGTCACGTGACTTTCATTCACGTAGCGGGAACGGAAGCTATAGGCGATACCAAGGACGGGCTCTGGGGAGGCAACCGGCACGGAAAAATAGCACGATTGTAGTTTTGGAAGAATATCTGTTGCGGTAAGAGGAATTATACAAAACATACGTCCTAGGAGCAAACATGTGTTATTCCTCCATACTTGCGCTACATTGCCTTTCTCGAATGGCCAGCACTTAGCAAATAATAGCACAATTCTAAATTGGTAATATATGTGTACAGTAGCAACTGCGGGTCCCTGTACCCGTGTCGCGGAGCACAGAAGAGACGTGAGGGGGCACGTATTAAGTAATGCGATAGTTGTTCATGTGGATAAGGCCGGGCACTTACCAAGGTGGGAAGGGGCTGAAATTTTAGAGAAAGGTATTAACAAAAAAATAAGGAGGGCACTAGAAGCTGCACACATCAAGACCAAGGACACACTAAACACAAGAGGGGGATTTTATTCGATGGCAGTTAGCGACAGCCAGATTATCCTTGCTGAAACGGAGCACGATTGTGGGGAACGAACGTGATCGGATGTAAAACATCGAAATGTCATTTCCATGAGTGATTTATTAATGCTGATGTTTTTTAAAATGTGATTTGTGACTTTAGGTATATTTTACTGACGATGGCACATTGTTGTCGAAGCGTCTAAAATACAAAAAGATTTAGATTTTAATTATCATTTTGGTTTGCAACTATTGGCCATCAGATTTTATAAATATGTCTAACAATACCGAACAATTAGATCAAACAACTAACTACCGGGCTTCTAAAAAAAGTTAGACGATTTTATAACTAACGTATTGAAGGGTGTATCAGTGTCACAAAACATAATTGGGTATCACCTAAAAGCCTCATCAAAGACATTTCGTTTGAGGGGATTTCGATCCTCGGCAGTCGCCTTTCTGAGCCGCGCCGAGGTTATGTTCGAGATGATTCCCTTTTTGCTCGATGCACAGTTTAGCCCGGCGAAGCGCGACCTCTGCTGCAGCACGACCCACGGAAAGCTGCAGACGGCACACCGCTGACTTCACTGCATCCTTATCATCTTCGGAACTTTTTGGGTGGTTTCGGTACACCTGGGACTTGAGGTGGTCCCATAGGAAAAAGTCCGGTGGGGTTACGTTCGGAGAATTCGCCGACCACGGGCGTGTCTCGAACCTCGAGATCACGCGCCGCCCGAAGCGCTCCCACAGCCCCTCCCGGTTTTCTTTAGCGGTATTGGCGTGGCACCATCTTTCTGGAACCATTGGATCTTAAGCGTTTCCGGATCTTTGCTCATCCTGATATTGCAGAAGAACCCTCCAAAACGTCGCCAGAGCCACCCGATATCGCTGACCACTAACAGTCTGAGTGGCGCATCTCTCACACGAGTGGTGTTCGCCGTGAGCCTTTGATTGGGTTTATGGCCGCCGCTGTGTTCCTTGAATTGCGTGAACCTATTGTTAATACTTCCTCGAGCCGGAAACTTGTCAATAATGTGGAAAATTTTGTTTCAAGATGTTGCTCTCTTTGCCTTAAAGTGTTTGCGGATCTTCCGTGGTGTCGAACCGACCGACTTAGGGAAAACATAATTTCACGAGTTTTGCTTTTACTTCCTAAGACCACGGCTTCATTTTTTTAAGCTCAAATCATGGTGTCATATAAATGTACGAAAAATTCTCCGTTTTTCCACGTGCATTGACTTTGCTTAACCCGGCATTTGCTGGGGTATTTCGCCACCCATCGTTTGCTGGGGCGGGGGGGGGGGCGTTAAACGCCCCCAGCCGATAACTCGAGAACCAATAGGCGCAGCGAAACGCACGAGGCGGCAAACGAAAGAGCGCGACGAGACGCTTCAGATGAGTACTTAAAAGTTTAATTTTGAGGTCACAGGTCAGGTCAAGGTCAGGTCAAACACCGGAAATCGGGCTTTCAGTAGCATGGACTTCAGGACTTCGCAATGGGCGCCTCTCGTCATAAACTCTGTCAAAACGGTGCACAATCCATCATATAAGGCTTACAAGAGTGTCAGCTCCATGTAGGGGTCAGTCAAGCATAGGTCAGGGTCAAGGTCAGGTCAACCGGGTAGGCACATATCCCCGAAAATCAAAACTGATATTCGCAGCCTGTGACACATGTTTTATGGGTAATTTGGAGCGTAGAACACGATGGTGACATTATTTTTCTCATATGTGTACGAGTTTGGCTCAAAAAGCTCAATTTAAGAAATTCATGCATCATGGTCGTGAGGTAGTCACGAGAAATTGCCAAGACTCAGTTCAAGATTTTGGAAAATGCGGAACAATAATCAATAATCGAAGATAGCCATTAGATTGCTCATGGTATTGGCAGTCTAATGGCGTTTACGGCATGTCTGTATATCTATTCTGTGATTTTATATGATTTTTTGAACATATGCCGTTTTTGGTCGAAAACTCAGAAATCATGACGTCTTTAAAACCTCGATATCTCAAAAATTTTCCAACCGATTTTTTTTGAAACTTTGTCACAATAAACTTCAATCAATTCACTACAGGTACTTAAAATTTGGCGCGCCTGCGGCGCACCGTTTTTATGCTATGGCCCGGCGAAAAACGTGGGGGCGTTTAACGCCCCCCCCCCCCAGCAACTCGCGGGTTAAATGTTGTTAGGGGTCCTCTATTTGCAAAAGAAATCCGTCTAACTTTTTTAGAAGCCCGGTATTAAATAAACAAACAAAGAAACGGTGTTCATGAACTTTTCACGAAGAAATATACAAACAACAAGCCCTGCAGTTATCGGTTTCGAATTTATTTCCACAAATGAAATATAGCCCGCTCTGCACCAGTAAATAAACCACTAAACTGAAATGAAAAGACAGCTACAACCTAAATCGTATCAATATCACCCAAAGCAGCAGCAACAGCATGGCATCTGTCGACGGCGCAGGGCAGCGAGTGTCGTCACACAGCCCAACGGAGCGGGCAGCGAGTGTCGTCACACAGCCCAACGGAGCGGGCAGCGAGTGTCGGCACAGCCCAACGGAGCGGGCAGCGAGTGTCGGCACAGCCCAACGGAGCGGGCAGCGAGTGTCGTCACACAGCCCAACGGAGCGGGCAGCGAGTGTCGACTCGTCACACATCCCAACGGAGCGGGCAGCGAGTGTCGGCACAGCCCAACGGAGCGGGCAGCGAGTGTCGACTCGTCACACAGCCCAACGCAGCGGGCAGCGAGTGTCGGCACAGCCCAACGGAGCGGGCAGCGAGTGTCGTCACACAGCCCAACGGAGCGGGCAGCGCCACTGACGGCTGAGTGGTCAGCCCGTCTTGGCGTTGGCCTGGCGTTTGCTGAGCACCTGCCTGGCCGGCTGGGTGAGCAGCGGCGGTCCGGGCAGCACGACTGCCGGCCGCCGCTCGTCCAGCAGAGCCACCTGTGGGCACACCCACCCCGCGGTCAGCCATCATCACCGGCGGCCACCTGTAGGGGAGAGAGGGGCGGGGGGGGGGGAATTTAGCACACCTCATCCTTCATCAATTTCACACATGTGAAAATTTCAGACCAAGGTCATTCAAGGTCAGGTCACTAGGTCACTTCAAGTGACCTCACCTTGTAAAAAGTTTCAATGTCTGCCATAGCTACACCGAGAGACCGATTGCTTTAAAACTTTAAGCGATTGATACGAGCAATAGTACGCACAACTTGTATATCTCAGAATTTTGATATCGTCACGAATGGTATTGGGTATTGAGTTTTTCGCGATTAAGTTTTAGTTATCATTGAGATATAATAGCCTTTGCTCATATTAAGTTCCGAATGGTAAATGAAATGCAAAATTCTTTGAAAAATACCTATAGTTCGTCCATGGGACTTCTTCAGGGTCACAATCAAAAGGTGTTACGGTTACAGAGAAAAGTGGGTTTTGAATTTTAAGATAAGACAGGCACGACACGCGGCATACATAGCAAATACCACCGTTTCAAAAGTATCGGATACGGACACATGCATGCAATCCAAAATAACGAAGTACAGAGTCAATAGTCGAACAGTGCTGAACCTGTGAAACTTAAATGGAGTAGGTACCCTCAACACTGCAAATGAAGACTACGCAAATGAAAACTACGCAACTACATATATTCTCAGCCTAGTGCCTAGTCAAATAATGTAGCACTACAGCCATATCAACATAAATAAGATGATCGACAGACATGAAATTCGGACACAATAAAGAGATGAAACAGAAAATGTAAACACATAAATCGGGATCATTGCTGGCTATACCAGCGAAAACAGCACAATCATACACTAACAATACAATAGAACATACATGCAGAGCGATGGACGAGTCTACTTTAGCAGTAGGTATAGGTCAAGTATCGACTTGACTATTTAAGAGGGGTTGTCTGTCCCGGATAGCCAGTGCCTCGGCAATCTTGCGGTCCGCACCATCTTTGTTCCGGCGGAGGATAGCTATTGAAAGCTGAGGCACTGGTGCATCAGACTGACTCTCTCTCATGTGGTCCCCAAAGGGGGTCTGTTGCGTGCGGTTGACTGCATCTCTGAAGTGCTCGTCAAATCGGTACCGCACGCAGCGCCTTGTCTCACCAATGTATGTTTGTGGTGGGGAGCATCTTTCACATGGGATCTCATAGGTCACGTTTTTGGTTGTACATCGGCCACGAAGTCCGCTGTCGCAGGTGCGGCATGAACGGTTGCCAGCTCGGCATGGTGGTGGGTGGGTCAGAGATTCACTCGAGATTAAATTGTCTTTTCACTTTTTCCTCGGCTGTATCTTCTATCTTCTTTTCTGATCTCTGGAGAGAAACGGCGGGCGAGCGGCGACTTCAACTGCTGGTGAGCTGTGCCGTGGCGGCGGCCGCAGCCGTGTTTGCATTGGTTTATTGTAATTCAGACAAGGCGCTTTAAGTTAAGCCATGGATGAGTTAAGCTTTTGCTTTTGCGCCTGTCGTATTTGTTGTACGTTTCCAACGCCGGGTTTTGGTTTACCAAACATGGTTATGTTGATGATGATGATGGCCCGCCGGACGGTCGTGCAGCCACAGGACGACACCGTGACGGGCTGGCGGACAGCATTACATAGGGTTTTGTTCAGTTGAGGGACAGCAGCCAGGCTTCGCGTCACCTTCTGCGACTGCTGGCCTACCACGTCCCATCAAAATGTGAAATTTGCCAATGTTTGGTGCAAAATAATTACAAATGAAAAAGGACTTACGAGTATTTTGCAGTTTCCAACAGCACAGACCTGCAGCCGCAACTCTGTGCCGCGAGTCACTCTTACCTGCACCTCTGTGCCGGGTACGGCCAGGTAAGGCGGCAGGAAGGCCATGGCCAGCGTCTGGCCAGTGTTGTGGCTGTAGCAGCCCGACGTCGTGTTACCGACCACCTGGCGGCACAAACAGATGGGACTGTCATTTTCACCGGCTGACTGCAGCCATCAGCGCCTTTACCAGGGTTTTATAATTTGACCGAACGGATAAAGGACCATGATGTGCTGTGGGCAAGTCAGCGGCTGAAACTCTCACGGCGTGGATCGATCGAGCCTGCACCATAGTTTTCCTATATAGCTGTACTGCGCAAGTAGAGGAGAGTGGGGCAAAGCGGCCACCTACCTACCAAAGCGGCCTAGGTCACGTGATCTAAGGTCAACTTTTGACCTTTCGACCTTTCGAGGTCAACTTACATATGTTTCGATGCGGATCGACGAGAGGATCACGATGGTGCTATTAGTTTGTTCCTAGCTGGGATAACTTGAAAGTTATTCGAGAAAAACTTCATATATATGTATAGTGCCGCTATTTTGACTTCCTTTTAGCTCCTGTGACGTCATCTTTGACCTGACCTGAAAATGACCTGAGTAAAAATTATAGACCTTATCCGTGTGTACCCTTTACCGTTTACCGCTTGTCGCTATCTTGCTTTATTCTCGAGATCTCGCTGTCGCTCCCGCTCGTAATAATGGACAGGTCATAAAAATGACCTGACCTGAGGTCAACGCAGAGCGATAACCACCTTTTTTTATTATCGCATATGCATGACAATCGATAAGGCTTTAATCGTCATCAGACAAAATTGTTACTTTCAGTGGGGAAAATATCAAGGTCACTCTTCGAAAAATAGGACAAAAGGTCACGTGATCAAAATTTTCAAAAATTGAAAATCCGAGATAGCCAAAATGTTTGTTGGTTGATTGTGAGCTGAACCATATAGTTTTTATCGTAAAAAACCAATAGTTTCTGAGTTATAGGTCGCCAAACATAGGGCTGCAGCGCGAACTTCAGGAATTGCCCGAGGCTATATCTCGGAAACCGTTGTTCGAAGAAAAAAATCCTTGCCACAGCTGGCTTCCCCGCCCATCACAACCCCTTACACCAGTTTTCAACGAAGAATAAAATATGAGGGTGCAAATTTAATTTTTTATTTGTCGATTTGTCGTGGAACGCCCCCTACGTCACACCCCGGCGGGTCAGCTGATACAACTGCGGAGGTGCCGGCGACTGACCCCGGTCGCTGGCGATCGCGGGCGGTCGCCGGCGACAGTTGCCGTCGCCGGCGACCGGAAAAGTTGCTACGTGTGAAACGGCCATAAGTTGACCTCACCCAAACAAAAAGTATATCATTAGACGCGCCTGAGCGAGGCAAACACAATGCTGCCAAAATCGCGGCTCTGCGGCCAATTTTTGCGAAGTTATTCACCAAAAACGCAACCGTACCTTGGGGCACTTGTCATGACCTCAGAGGTCACCGGTTGACCTAGGACCTTAAAATCGGGTAGCAATCTCTGCGTCTCGTAACGGCGCACACGCTTGTTTTTTTTTTTCGCGCGACGCGCTAGCTACACCATCTAGAGAACCCCCTTGGGAACCCCCTGCCGGCTTGTAGAGGGTTCGCGTCAGCAGCTCTTAAGGCCCCACACCCGTCTATAACGGCTCCGCACCAGCGTCTATGAGGGCCCACAGCAACGTCTGTAAGGACCCTCTGAGAGAATCACACTAGCACCTCTGAGCGCCCACACCGGCTCCACACCAGTGCCCAGGTTCAAGGGCAATGGGAGGACAGAAGGGCGCCGAACAATCAGTAGTGCGAAGTTGGTGGGGACGTATGGGCACCAGACGGTTGTGAGGGCGCCAGGAGACCATGAAAAGGGCGCCATTCTCCTAGAAGAGCTCCGAGTGATTGAAAACGTTATATGGTCCAGGGGCGCTGAGAGGCCAGAAGGGCGCCTAACAGTCAGTAGCGCTAAGTTGGGAGCGCTAACCGCAGGGGCGCCAATACGGTTATGAGGGTTTCTGGTGGTTTCTGGTGATATAGTATCGATTTGTCAACATCTGCTATTGTCATCCCGCTTTGGTTTGGGCCTGACCTTGGCCAGGGGTGTAATTTTACATCTCTTTGTGGGAGCAGATGCACCCACAATCCTGAATTATGCCCCCACAATGATAAAAATGCACCCACAAGTCTTTTACAAGCATCCTTTCGAGAGCACGGCGCCCTTCGCACATGCCCTAACGGCGTCCTCCTGACCGTCTCGCATTCCTGGATAATGTAACGTTTTTAATCACTCGGCGTCCGTCTGGGAGAGTAGCGCTATTTTGACAGCACTACGCCATTCGCATAGTCTAACGGCGCCCTCCTGACCGTCTCGCGTCCTTATGTCTCTGTCCACCGTGCATCCCTCGACTGTTCAGCGCCCTTCTGGCCTCTCAGCGCCCCTGGACCACATAGCGTTTTCAATCACTCGGCGCCCTTCTAGGAGAATGGCGCCCCTTTTCATGGTCTCACGGCGCCCTCGTAACCGTCTGGCGCCCCTATGTCCCCAACAACTTGCACTACTGACTATTCGACGCGCTTCTGGCCTCTCAGCGCCCCTGGACCATCTAGCGTCTTCAATCACTCTGAGCCCTTCTGGGAGAATGGCGCAAGGAAAATGCCGTGTGTTGATGTTTAGATGTATAAAGGAAACAAGAAGGAAAGAAATTCGGAAAAGGGAGGAAAGATCCTTTCTCGCTGTCTCAATGTTGAGGGGCGCCGCCCCCTCGGCTCTCAAGTTGAGGGGGGGGGGCAAGCGCCCCAATGACCATAGACCCGGGAATAGCCTCCTCCTATTCCCGGGTCTATGGTCAGTACAAAGCGATTGCAATTGCAATGCAGTGCGATTAATGTGACATTTGTGTACCAAGTTTGAGTGTTATCCGCCCAGCCGTTCTTGAGATATGGAAGCGGCAACCCTCACGTGCGCACGTGCAGTAGCACCGCCATGGTGACACATGGAAATGCATTGGCCATTGGGTGCCAAACTATTGACGAAGTTTTGCTGTAATGGGCGCAGCCATTGCGGAGTTATTTTATGTTGAACAATTTCGACACCCCTAAGTTGGCACGTGGCACGTGCCGTAATATTAACTAAGATGTAGAAAATCGGACAAAATTCGGAGAAGAAGGAATAAGTCTACCCAATACAGGGTGTCCGGAAAAAGTTTACCCGTGAAAACTTTAATAAAATCCGCAACATGAAAAATATCTTAACAATTTTCACACACCATCATCACAAGGTCATGAGAAGTGTATGCTGTAATTTTCAAGAAAAATGGTTAATTATTGTGACTGGGATTGCATTACGAAAAAACATGTGAAAAACGCACACAATAGTGTATCTATTTGCACACGCATAGACAGTGTAATGACAAACAGCATTCATTCATTGACAGAATCGCACGCCTAGCCACGTCGTCGTCAAACATTAAACATCATTTCAGCAGTGGTCTGGTGTCTCTTGTTAAGTGACTGATGTGTTCAAAGTGCTGGCCACGCCTATTCAGACAGACGCTGTCGCTGATGCGGCGTTGGAAGTGATCCACCGTGCGTCGGCAGTGGCCCATGTCGGTTGGGATCTCCCCAACCACTAGCACGATTGCACTCTTAAGCTCAGCAATTGAAATTGGAAAAGGCCATCTTGCTGGGAGCATCGGAGAGTCTCCAGTTGAAGGGTTTGCTGAACTGAGTTTAAGTGCTTCGGTAAGACTGTGTTTTGGCATAACTTTCGACACAGAAAGCTTTTTGTTTGTTAGTGCGCCCTGGTTAATGCATGACATGTCAGTCAACGTGTGCGACTGAAAGTTACATTTTCGATGAATATGTGTGCATTTTAGAGCAGAGTATTTAGAACACCGGGTACAGTCAGAGTTTGGGATATGGTAGCAGTCAAATGTCGACAGAAATGGCGAACAAGTTACAAATAGAGGTAGGTTTATTCCACTGTTATACTTCCTCTTGAAAACTGTTAGCACACATGACGTCATAGAGTAAAAAGTCCCCATCTAAGGTCATTAAGACGAATTTTTGACATAATTAAATAACAAAATTATATTGTGTTACCTGTTTTTTCTTTTATTGTTCCAACAATCATTTTTATTATCTCTATTGGCAAATTATTTGTTGATTATGTCATCTGGGGCCGCGAGTCGGCGAATGCAGTCGGTCGGAAAAAAACACGTGTTTTCGGCGGCCGAGGTAAACAAATTACAGTATAGGTAGCTTTGGGTGATATGCTATTTCTATTATTGAAATCGCGTCTCCTGCCGTCAGTACTTTTTCGTCGCAGTGATTTTCACTTTTAGAATTTTCTTCAATAATTGTGGTATTCAGTTCTGCCTCTGATTTGCAATGGCAATTATTATTTGAAGTGAAGAAGGCCTTGTTATGGCCCTGCACAACCTCGCTGAAAAGTGAAACTGAAACGGCTGGAATAACAGTATTGCAACTGGTTTCAAATTCTTCTTCAAATTTCCTCGAAGTCAGGCTTAGACTTATGAATAACATCAGATTTGCAAGCATGTTCAAACTGCTCCATTAATCTCCAGAACATCAGGCTCTCTTCTGATGCTTACAATGCCTGTGGCTCCAACATTATATTGCTAAGAATGGCAGTTCAGCAAGATGTATGTGCAGGCAGAGGCACTTAGCCAATGCACAATGCAGTGCAGATTAATTGTGGTGTGAATTTTGTGTGGATCAGTGCACAATGCGTGCCATGATGTGGTAAATTCCATGCCGAATGGCTGTGCTGTGATATGAGCTGACACTGTTGAGTGTTGATGCAATGCTATCTAAGAAATTTTCAGAAGGCAAATGAGACATCATTGAATATTAGTGTAGTTTCCATATAAGTGCAGAGTTCCCAAACTTGCAGCCTTTTTTCGTGTGATTGTGCACATTTCCAGCCTATGTGCGTGCTAGTGCGGAATACTTAGTTGCTAGATTGGTTGGAACAGCTTGTCAAGTGTCAACTCTGTGGTAAGTGTGAAGATGAAGTCCAGTGAAGATTTTGAACATCTAACCTGACCTAACCTTACCTTCTAACTCAAAGCTTTCAACCTACCAATCAGGGCTGCGGAGTCGGAGTCTGAGTCGGAGTCTGAGTCGGTCGGAGTCGACAGTTGTGACCGGAGTCGGAGCCGGAGTCGGAGTCGATTTTAGAAACCAGAGCCGGAGTCGGAGTCAGAGTCCACGAAAATCCGTCGACTCTGCAGCCCTGCCAGGTCTGCGGAGTTGGAGTCGGTCGGAGTCGAAGTTCTGGCCGGAGTCGGAGTCGGAGTCGGAGCTGGTTTTTGGAAGCCGGAGTCGGAGTCGGAGTCGGAGTCGCTGAAAATCCATCGACTCCGCAGCCCTGCTACCAATATACTACCTATGAACCCACCAGCCTAAAACCTACAACCTAACTCCTACAACCTACCAAACTCATGTCTACAATCTGGACTTCATCTACTCATATATCAACTCTATTGCCTGATAATCTTTTCTTGTTTCACACAATCTTATGGTCTGATATGTCTTTCTGAAGCAATAGTCAAAGAATGTGATAAGTTAAGTAATTTTGCACAAATGGAGATAAATAAATTTATGTATATGAGGGTTTTTGAGCTAAGTTGTGTTTCAGTGGTGATAAATGGAATGCTGTCATCATCACATTGCATTGCCACCATGAGCAAAGGCATTAGGAGCATTAGGAGGCAGAAGTATTGACTATTGAGATGAGCCATCCATTTGTGTTTTTACCAATGCATTACCTTAGGCCTTTAGGGAAAAGTGATCAAAAGTTGTTGAGTGAAGGGGAATATGGAGAAGAGCATTTATTGTTTGTTTTTGGGAAGAAGACAATCAATTAAACTTATGAAAAAGAAGTGATCATGCATTGTATTATGAGCCCAAATCAAACAGGATTCTCTCATGACCATACTAAATGCACAACCCTTAGCTGTTTGTGCACAGTGGAACCCGCTTAACCCTCGCCGGACTTATTGGTTTTCTACATACGCGCCGGCCGGGGGCCGGGGGGGGGGGGGGGTACGACCCCATCTCGCCGTTTCGCCCTTAATGGAGCTAGAACGTCGCAGAAAAGACGAGCGTGTGTGTCGTTACGAGATGCAGCGTTTTGTACCCGATTTTAAGGTCTCAGGTCAACCGGTGACCTCTGAGGTCAGGTTAAGTGGCCCAAGGTACGGGTTCGGTTTTGGCGAATAACTTCACAAAAAATGATTGCAGGGCCGCGATTTTGACAGCATCGTATTCGCCCTGCTCAGGCGCGTCGAATGGTATTCTTTTTATTTGGGTGAGGCCAACTTTGGTTGTTGAGTTGTTGACCTCGGGTCACGGTGAGGTCAGAGGTCTCAAGGGCACGAACTTGGTCGAAGGAGGTCATGTCACATATCATTCGATTTGGCAGGTCTTCCCGAGTCTATTGGTGGCTTTCCCGACTCGCTAGCCCAATTTGATCAGAAGTTATTGTCGAAAAACTTATGACACTAGTGACGTCATCGATGACGTCATGCAAGCTCTTGGTGCAAAAATGAAGCATCGAACCTTGTAAAGAGTGCATGAAATAATCACGGTTGCGTGTGTTACAGCTAGTCTGAGATCGTTCTGGGCTCAAAATAGCTGTTTATAAGTTTCCCCCATTGGCTTATAATGGTGACTTCATATGACCGGCCTGACCTCATGTGACCTTGAATAAAAAAGCGAGATATACACGTTGTGAGACTTCTGGAGGATACTAGGTCCTGCAAGTTTCATCTCCTTGTGAAATCTGTTCTGACACTGAGGGCGTTGCGAACTTGCGGTATCTGAGGACCGTGCAGAGGTTCACTTATGACGTCAAAGGTCAGTGACCTGACCTGACCTGAAAAAGCTGCTGGTATTGCAAGATCCGGCTTGAATCAAAGGTCAGGTTCATCACTACTCGGTATGTTCCGAGCATTCGAAAAAGCAACCATCAAGATGTAATTGAATGATACCGTTTAGGATTGCACCTTCCCAGGCGCGGATACAAGGGGGGGGCCATGGGGGCCATGGCCCCCCCTTGGCCGATTTTTTTTTTCAAAAATAAAATAAAAAGTTAAAAAGCTGAAAAGGGGGCCTCCTGAAAATAAAGTGGCCGAAATCCGATGAGTTTTTTTTTTTTTAACCTACCCACTTAGTTATTTCTTAGAAGACTAGCTGAGAAGACTTCTTTGTTAGAAGATTGGTAAAGCTTTTCATAACTTGGAGGTCTCTTATACTCACAGAGATGACCACTTTTACAGGGCCTCCTAACCTGCACAGAGGGCCTCCAAGCCTGCACAGATGTTGAGATGTTGCCTGAACAGCTAGATAAGCTCAATAGACGCAGTTTTTTTTGGGGGGGGGGCCAACAAGTGGGAAGATGGGGCCTCCAACAGGTGGGATTATGGGGGGGGGGCCTCCTGGTTTCTAAAGACCCCTCCCTTGGAGATTTTCTGGATCCGCCCCTGCACCTTCCCGCCTATCGCCAAATTTCAGCGTTTTATGTATGTACCATCGCCAAAGTGGATGCGGGCATCGATAGAAGAAAGATCAGGCTGTCGTATGGTACACTCGGTTTATACGTATCTCGACTAATAAGTTAATAAATCGACTTTTAGTTTTGCCTTCGAAATCGGTATCTCCCATAGGTAAAGCACTAGTGAAGGGAAAATAAAAAACCTTCACGCTCTGCTTACGTCACCAGAGCGTGAAGCTACCAATGCCATTGACTGGGGGCCGTTTTAGAGCACGTGCACTATTTTCACGTGCTGGCTTGCGGCTTAACTCCTGCATACAGTTCTGTCAAAGATCTATTACAAATGTTCACCATGATGACATTACGAAATGAGGCGGGTTGGCGCGCAAAATGTGCTAAATTTTCAAAGTACTATTTAATCTGTGATACTATAGCAATACTCATGAAACTTTGTCCACTAACTTCTCATTGCTTTGTTGAAGTCCCCTGAAAAATTCAGCTGAGTAATAAAAAAACTGTCAATTTTATTAAAGATTAATTGGGTAAACTTTTTTTTCCGGACACCCTGTATATACATATATATGATATATTGTCAAACTGCTGTACCATGGTGAGTAAATGACCATATAAAAGGTCGTACAAGGCGATGGGACTGGGCGGTTCAGAACACACGTCTTACGCATTTTATTTTCGTTATTACCTGCTAGAGATGTCAATCGGATACCAAGTTTTTGGTATACCGCTACCAAACCGATACCAACTTGGTATTTGGTATTTCAATCGTAATGTGTTTGGTATTTTGTTGGTATCATAAACCCTCACTAATGTATAAGTGGCTAAGAAATCGGTAAAAAGTTGGTATTTCCCTCATGTTCCCAAGTTGGTTTGGTCTCGGCATTTTCCCGTGGCTTTGGTTGGTGTTTGGTATCGGTATCGGTATTCCGATTTTATGTAATTGACATCACTATTACCTGCTGCTTGCCGTTTTTGGCTTTCAAGCATTTAAGACATTTTTTGTCGTCTCAGGCTCAGTAACATTACCTCCAGCTCGTGGGAACCTGCATTTCAAGCCAATAAACAAGGGCTCCGCCACCGGGGGGGGACGGGGGGACATGTCCCCCCAACCAAAATGTTGGGTGGGACATACTATCTTCCCCCCCCCCCCAATAATCGGCTCTCCTGCTGGTAGATAAATCGACTCTTGTTCCTGACACCGAAAACAGAACATAGGTGCAAAGAATCTCCGAAGAAAAAACGTGATGAGAATATAATCAACCTGCCGTCGACAACTATACCTATCGTCGCTGTGCTTTTAGTCTTTTGTGTAATGGGGGCCACGGATTTCAGTTTTTTTTTAGTAGACCATACAGGGGCGCAGCCAAGGGGGGGGCACACTGGGCTTTAGCCCCTCCCAAATCTAGCAGGCGCCCTCCTGGATGGCGCCTTCCACGATCATTTCGGGGCGCCGAAGCCCGAAAGCGCCTTTCTATAAGGTCCAGCACTCTAGGCGCCCTCGACGGTAAGCCATTGCGGTACACCATGCGGCACTGGCGCCCAGGTTTACAATTTTATGCCTATCTCTTTGTGGGTGAAGATTCCCCAATCTCCTGACCGTCTAGCGCCCTCCTCATCTTCAGCGCCCTTCTGTCCGTTCGGCGCCCTCCTGACCTGTCAGCGCCCTTCTCGCCATTCAGCGCTCTTATGGGCTATCGGCGCCCTTTTCACATTCGGCGCCCTCTGGGCTGACCAGTCGGCGTCTTCATGGTCCTTACCACACAGCATCCTCCTGATCTGTCTGCGCCCTCCACAGTTGTCGGTGCCCTCCTGACATGTCAGCGCCCTCCTTATCGTATTATAGCGCCCTACTCACCGTACAGCGCCCTCCTGACCTGTCGCCATCCTCCTCACCGTACAGCGTCCTCCTGACCTGTCGCCATCCTCCTCACCGTACAGCGTCCTCCTGACCTGTCGCCGGCCTCCTCACTGTATAGCGGCCTCCTAACCATGCAACGCCCTCCAGACCGGCGCCCTCTGCGTTTAGCGCCCTCCTGACAAGTCGGTGCCCTTTTCACCATAGAGGGCCCTCCTGAGCTGTAGGCGGCCTCCTGACCGTACATCGCCTTCCTCACCTGTCCGCGCCCTCCTCTTTAAGCAGTGCCCTCCTGCCTTGTCAGCGCCCTCCTCACTCGTATAGTGCCCTCCGTATCGCATAGCATCATCCTCCCCATACGGCACCCTCCTGACCTGCTGGCGCTCTCTTCACCATACATCGTCCTCCTGACCTGTCAGCGCCCTTTTCACCGTAAAGCGCCATCCTGACCCTCGCCCTCCTTACATTACAGTGCCCTCCTCACCAATTATCGTTCTTCTTATCATACACTCCGGACCTGTCAGCGGCCTCTTCACGTTACCTATGTTGGTTACTGACCGTGGTAAGATCTGATCATTGTGTGATGCGTTTAGTTGTGTATTATGGTTTTCCATGATCCGTCATATTTTGTGAATTCCCGTAGAAGTTTGAGCTTGAGAGAAGGTGAGCTTGAGAGCAAACCGAGTTCAGTTTAAACTCATTTTGTTTAAAGTCTTGTCTAACGTTTTGGCTTTGCGTAATAACAAATGTTATCTTGCACGTCAAACATCCATTTTTACAACTATTTACATTAGAAAAGCGTAATGGAACCAATGCACAGTGGGGATTTTTCCGATCTAGCGCCTTTTAATTCAAAAAATCTTTTTTGGATTTTTGTTTATTTTTTGTGTCAGTGGGGCTAAGAAGTGTCTGAATTTTTCATATATGGCATTGTTTTATCTGTATGTCTACAGCAAAACTAGGAAAAATGCGCCCAAAGTTCACACTCATGCGTGATTACTCAATGGGCTCAGCAAGGCCCGAAAGTATAACTCAATTTCATTGTCCTGTCCTGTTGGTTTTAATCTTGCGAGGTCTTAAAGTTGCATATCGTCTGAAAGGCACCTTTATTAGGAATGGAATGGCAAACAGAAAGTATGCCACAACCTTACTAAGGTCACAAAAATGCCCTTTACAAAAAAACCCTTACAGACACCATATTGAAGGAATGGTATTCTAAATAAATGTAGGAAATCAACAATGTTCTCCACACTTTTCCACTCCGAAATATATCCTATCGAATTCACCACTTTCTCCTGCACAAGACAACGCCTAGTTTGGCTGCCGAAACTTGCCTGAACACGGAATATTCACATTAGAGTATCTTAACACCCCACTCGAGGAGCGCAGGGCAAACAGGACGATATAGGTATGTTCCGGACATAGGCGAATAATTTTACTTCGTGATTTATATGATGCATATTTTCTGAGACACATTCATAAGGAATAGGATGACAAGCGTAAATTATACATACCGTAACCTTATTAACCATCGCACTTGTGGGGTGGGGGAGGGGGAAGGGGTCGGATAAAACCCCATGGTTTTCCGCAAATTACTCGCGCCAAAAGCGGCCGATCGCGCCGAAACTTTCGGTGCCCTCGAGATCATCAATATTACATCTAACCTAAAAATTTCATGACTCTGACCCAACTGACCTTTGACCTGTGGCATATTTCTCGAGACCATGTTTGGCCGGAATCGCGATTCGGCGTATGCCAGCTCACATTATCCGCGGTTTCCAGTCTTTTTGTGGTTTTAAACGTTCAAATATGTGAAATGATGTTGGTGCCATGCATAATGGTGGGTGGCAAGGTCACGTGAAGGTCAAGTCAAGGTCATTGACCTTTTGATGACCTTGGTTCACTTTTTCGAGTTTTACTTGTTTCTAGGGTAGTTTTTGGTGCTGATTTCGATTTTAGCAGCCATTTGAATATTTACGAAGTAGTTCTGGTGCCTTCGTTCCATGCTACGAAGCTATCAGTAGTAGGTGACACTTCTATGGATGGCCGGCAGGACGCCTACTAGTTGATCTAACCTGACCTGACCCGACCTGGCCTAAATGCATAAAGACATCGTCTGTGATCAAAACTAACATGAAATTCGTGATCAGCACCCCAAAATACCCCGTAACACCCTAACTTTGAGAAGTTAGGGTGTCAGCACGAAACCAAGATTGCTGAACATGCAAAACAAGACCCAAGTAGTATATCAAGGTACATAAGGTCACAACAGAAATTGAAGCCAAAGGTTGGACCACTTACAACTGAAAGCGGTACATTGACACAGAGTGACATGGAAGCAGCGGAAGTGTTAAACAAGTTCTTCCAAAGTGTATTTGTTGAAGAAGACGATTCTGAAGTTCCAGAATTCCCAGCTCGTGTACAGGACGAAAATATCCTGGAGCATATCGAACTAACACTACAAGAAGTGCACAGGGAATTAGAAGCCCTAGATATTAACAAGTCGGCAGGACCAGATGGCATACCCAACAGTGTAATGAAAATGTGTGCAGATCAAATGGCTGGACCACTGAAATGCCTCTTCCAGAAAACCTTGGACTTGGGCAAGCTACCAGTTGATTGGAAGGAAGCAAGGGTAACACCACTATTCAAGAAAGGGTCAAAAAAAGCCCCAGGAAATTATAGACCCATCAGTTTAACAAGTCAACCATGTAAAGTTTTGGAGAGAATAGTTAGAAAACGCATTGTTGAACACCTGGATGACCATGACCTGATCTCAAAACACCAGCATGGTTTTACAAAGAGAAGATCATGCCAAACCAACTTGATTGAAGCAATGGAAGAATGGACCAAAACATTGGATGACGGACATGCTTTGGACATAGCATACTTGGATTTTCAGAAAGCGTTTGATACCGTACCGCATAGAAGGCTAAAGAAGAAATTGTATGGCTATGGAATACGAGGAAGGCTGTTAGACTGGATTTGTGACTTTCTGCACAACCGCCGACAACATGTGACTATAGGAAATAGTACTTCGAATTCAGTGGATATAAAAAGTGGTGTGCCACAGGGTTCTGTTTTGGGTCCAACATTGTTTTTAGTTTATGTCAATGAGCTGCCAACAGAGATCAAAAGTAGCATAAAAATGTTCGCTGACGACGCCAAAGTGTATCGACCAATCCGACATGATGATGATGTAGCTGCACTACAGGCCGACCTACAAGCTCTGTGTGCATGGTCTCGGAAATGGCTACTGAGGTTCAATGTTGCCAAGTGCAAGATAATGCATTGTGGGTTTTCAAACCAACATAACCGGTATTACATGACAGAGAATGGTTCGAATAGAGAACTCAAAGCAACTACCCAAGGCTATAGAAC